GAAATTTACCCCAGGTATGCAAGGCTGGTTCAATGCTCCAAATCACTCAGTGTAATCCACCATATCAAGAGGTTGAAGAAGAAAAATGGAGTGACCACGTCAACTGATGCAGAAAGTGCATTTGACAAAATCCACATCCATTCATGTAAAACCCCTAGCAAACTGGACACAAAAAGGAACTTCCTCAACTGGAGAAGGAACATCCACAAGAAGCCTGTAGCTGATATCAGACTTCCTGTTGAGCAACTGCACTCTTTCCCCCTAAGATCAGGAAAAGGAAAGATGATCCCTTTATAAGTCCTATTCAATGTTGTACTGGAATGCATACTAGAAAACGAAAAGGAAATTAAAACTATAGAGTTTGAAAGACATAAGACTGTCTTTGGAGATGACATAATTGCTTATGCAGAAAATCCTAAAGAATTCTCAAAAAAAATTCCTGTAACTAAGAAATAAGCATAGCAAGGGCAATGAATATGAAATAATGTAAAATGATAATGGCTTTTATACATGCCAGCATTGTAAAATTAGAATTAAAAATTAAATAAAACAATACCATTAACAATAGTTCCAATAGTAAAAAACCTAAGTTGGTATCCAACTAAATGTGTAAAAAATCTGTATGCAAAAAGTTATTTAAAAAAAAAGATTTTTATTTTGCAAAATAGTAACTATTTCAAATAAGGCTGCAAAGTATATTAGCAACTTAAAGTGTAGAGCTGAGTGGTAAAAGGCAATTGGAGTTAAATGACTTGTTTTTATATTTAAATTTTTTTATTGTATTTTTTCATTATCTCTTATCCCCCTTATAACCTGCTGCCCCAGTTCCCCACACTGTTGTTCATGAGTCCTTTTTTATTTGCTTGATATGATTTTCTTTTAATTTCAATAACTTGAACAATATGGTTTCAAATTCAAAACTACAAAAATATAGTTTAAAAGTAAATTAAAAAATTGAAAATAACCTTGGTTGATTAAAATTAACAGTTTTAATGTCATTTAAAACAGGAAGATGTAAAGTAAAAAGAATACATAGCTTACATTTTTAGACAAAAAAGGAACAAGGAAAATAATAAAGAGTTTAAAAGTTAAAACAGGAAAAAGTACAAAAATTATGTTATGCAAAATCTTTGATGTAGATGAAACAGTGGTGATATTGGACAGCACAGGATCAAAAATAGAATCCAGCAAGGGACCCAATGAAGACAAAGTGCCATAAAAAAGTTATTAAAATCACAGAAAATTTATGGTATGTAAATATAAACAATAACAGCACCAACAAAATGATGCTCATACTGATGTGATAGAACAATTCAAAACACAAATAGTGGAACAAATGTTTTATAAATATTAAAAACACTTTTACTTCTAGGTTTTGAATTTTTGCACAAGCAAAAATTATTGTACAGGCTCTGGAGAAATTTGTTAGAAAGACACATTACATAATCTTGTATGCTAAAAACAGGGAACTATAATTTATTTTCAATATTTTGAAATATATGTCAACACATTGCTATCTTCATTACAAAAGTCCCAGAATGTGCTAATTGGTAAAAGATAAACATGCGGTTGTGAAAATAATAGCAATACCCTAAAACTGTACAACAGAAGACAAAAAGCCCTCTGCTGGGAAGAGGGGAAATAGATCTTGCAGTTAGAGGTTGCTTTGGAAAAAAGAAAAACAGGAAGACAGTGGAATGAGATTGAGTAAAGACTGATACATATCAGGAAACCTCTTATGAAATTTATGGCAACAATAAACAACAGCAGTGAAAGTATATAGTTATATTCATAAATTAGTTTTTAAAATCTGGAGACTCCATGCTCTTACTTTTAGAAACATTATATGAAATAGTTGAAAGCTGACACAATACAAACTCTCAAAAAACGGCAAATACTACAGTAAACATTGAAGTGATGAGACCATTCGATGATGACTACCATCACCACAATTTACTCACATATATGTTTTAGCTAATGCAATAAGATAAGAATGAAATTCATCGGTATAAATATTTTAAAAAGACACAATATTATATGATATATGATTACATATAGAGATATGATAAAAACCTAAATAAACTCCCTAAGAAGTAGAAAAAGAATTTGCCAAGAGGCATGAATTTCTTAAAAGGTACATAAAATGAACAGGTGTTATTTGCAACAACATATGTTGAAAAGAAATAGAATATTACTTCAAACACAGCAGTAAATACACATATATTTATAAACATCTGAAAGTTATGAACTATATGAAAGAAACTATAGTGTCTTATTGAAGATAATTATCAAGCTCTAAATAAATGGGGATGTTTTAAATGGGGATGGAGGTGCTTTTGGTTAGGAAAACATATCAACTTTAAAGTGTCAGTCCTTCTGAAATTATTGTAAAAGTGTAGTGCACCTGCAGTTTGTAATCCTATTGAAAGCGATGAGGGAATCTAAACATATATATGACAGAAAAAATATCTGCGTCAAGCCAAGTAAGTAGAAGAAGACTTAATTGGTTTGATGTGAAAAACTCAGTGAGATAGTAAAAGAATGTAGAACTATATTTTCAGTATACAGGTCTAAGAATTATTATATCTGATATACAAAGACTCCACCCTACTGAGAAAATATGACATATAACGCCAAAGAAAATGCATCTGAACAGTCACTTAGAGAGAATAAAATTAAAATGTCCAATAAACATATGAATACATACATACTACAGTATCAATGAGAAACCATTTCTCACCCACTAGATTGGCAAACACAATTTCACAAGTGACAAAGCAGCATGGGAGAAGATTCAGAGAAGCAGATATTCATTGCTGGTATGAGCATAAATTGCAAAAGCTGGTACTGTGTTAAAGAAAAAATGAAATCACTTTTTGAGAAATCTTTGTGACTTTGGGTTATAGAAGACAAAAAGATAGCTATGAAACCAAAAGCTTGACCCATAAAGAAAAACACTGATAAATTAGGGAAAAATATTAAATATTTTCTGCTTCCAAAGACACCATTCAAAATATGAAAAAAAACTAGTTCCAGAGCAGAGAATGGGAACCTAGGCATGGTCAAGGACAAGGAGTTCTGCTGGGAGCAAGAAGGAAGGAAAACTTGTAAGGGTCAGGCAGGGGTAGAGTGAGGGTCCCAACACACAGTCAGATTCCCCCTCAGGATACACAGTAAAGTTTTTCAGACCAAAAAGCTGAAGAAACCATGTCAAATGTCCCTGAAAGGCAGAGTAGAATTACCTCCCCAAAGGCTTACCATTTGGAGCTGGCCATGACCATTTTGATGAGGTCCAGGGAACAGAGAGTAGAAAGCTGGGAAGTCACTTCCTCCTAGGAAAGCAGAGCTCAGCTCTGGCCACAGCTGGAGACTGATTACCTGGACTTTACACAGACAGAGGGCTACTGCTGGGAGATTCACAGACTCAGCATTTCAAAAAATTGGTAGTAAGAAAACCCCACAAGAACTACTAAAAATTAAGTAGTTGTCATAGATGAAAATTTGAGACAACTATTATGAGCAGGAAGTAAAAAGCTGATTTATTAGGGACCAATAAATCTGTGAAGGCTAAAGATACATGCATGGAAGAAGAGTTTACCACCAAATTAAAAAAAATACATGTTGTACATACTAGAGAAGAAACTTTCCCTGAAGTAAAGGTGGAATTGAATCTGTCTCCTCATGAACACAAGAACTCCAGTCAAAGACAGTGTGCATGGAATTCACCAGTAACTTTCAGCATTGCTTTTATTTATTTGTGATAAACCGAGTGCACCTATCTTATAAAATCAATACTATAAGTTTTTACTCTAAATTTGAAAGCTTTAACAAGATAGAAGTTGCCATAAAAAAGTTAAAGGCAAGGAAGCATATTGATAAGTTCAGAGTATGTAGCAAACTCCTCCTTGTCATTAAAGGAAGGACAATCACCTCAATTTATTACATTGGCCAAAAATAAGCCAGCAATTCATAGAAGAGGCAATTTCAGGCCAATAGACTTGAAAACGTGTTCAGCCTCCCATGCAGTCAGAGAATGCAAATTAACAGGCTGCATCCCTTCATCCAGCTCCTTTGTGAAGTCTGTGTGTGAAGAGATGTCTCATCAGCCAGTGGTGGGAGAACACGGTGGTTCAGCCATGAGGAAGGCAGTTTGCTAGGATCTACGAACAAGTGAATATCAGTACCCTTTGCCTGAGCAATTCTACCTTTTCATTTATGTCATAAGACAAGTACTTGTATACATGCAAAAACATAAAGAAATATCTCGTTGTTATCGGAGCTTACTGGTAACAGTGAAAAACTGAAAACCACTAAATGGATTAAATGAAACATAATTTAAAAATTATGGAAAGCACCTCCATGGAGCAGTATGCACCTTGTAAAAGAATGCATTAGATCCTTATGTTGATTAATGTGAAAAACCATAATAATTTTAGTATTAAAATTGAAATCCAGGATGGTGTATACAATATGATCTCACTGAAAAAACAAGACAGAAATTATGCATTTAGAAAAACAAGTCATCTTTTCCTAACACGAAAAAATGTTAAGAATTCCTAACATTGGTGAGGTAGGAGACCAAGGCACCCAAAGTCAGATGTTTAACCTGAATTCTATATTTTCTTAAGTACCCTCTTTGAAACAACCTAGGTGAAGGTGGAGGGGCCAGAGAGAAATGAGAGAGTTCAGAGGTCATGAGAAAATAACAAATCCCTTTCTCAGAAAGAATTGCTGAATCCAGAGGGGCCATCAGCAGAGCAGTAGGTGTAACACAAGAGTCCTGTAGGCTGTGGCCACTGAGCTCACACTAGCGGCTGTCCCTCTGCAATTTAAAGATCCAATTTCCTTATCACATATTCCTGCATTCCATTACTCTGCACGTGAGTGTACCTGTAAAGCAGGACTAAGGTCAAGGTTTAGTTGAGTGTCTAAAGCCAGACAGTCAAGCAACAGCACAGCCAGAGAAGAATTTAAAGGAAGGAGGAAAGGCAGAGACTGACCTGGTCCTGAGGTTGCTGCCCGTAGTGGCCATCGTTCTGCCCTGGGCCCTGCTTGGACCTCTGATCCTTCTGGTGTCCCCTGCCTGGTTTCAGCCTCATTTCAGCCTTCTTATAGCCTGGTTTCAGCCTACCCAACCCTGAGTAGGAAGTCTGTAAGGGACTCAGCCAGAAAGGGCTCCACCCAAATGGGGAAAATAGAAGTGAAAGTAACTTTCCAAGTGTTTTCAGACACAATTCACTTTTCCTGCAGCCCCACAGTGGTTCTCTGCCATCAGGACTTGTGGCAGCAGGAATGGAGGACAAGGAAGGACACTCAGGACTGGAGAGCCCGGGGTGGGAGACCTCCAGCAATGAGCAGTACCAGCCCTCAGCAGTCCCCTTTTTGGAGCAAAGATCTCTTCCCCCCCAAAAAACATGAGCAAACCCCACTGTTATCATGGCCCAGATTTTCCAAGAGGCTACAGAAGAACAGAGTTAGGTCTTTGTGTTCAGACACAGGGCTGGAGAAGCACCATTCTCAGGGTGATGATTTCCATGTTTGTTCCCTGAGTCTGACTCCCTCTGGCTGGGACTATGAGTTGTAGTCCAATGAAATTTAAGATACACGGAAAAGTTCTACCAACCTCCACATATGTTCTTTCTTTCCCTGAAAGGAGTGAATATGACTCTGGACAGATTACATACACTGATGAGGATGTTTCTTTCCCAGAGTACAGGGTCTCACTGTGTCCTGGATGCTGCACATACAGGTGGTGGGGTCTTTCTCTCCAGCCCCATCACCCACTGTTTGGAGGTAGAAATTAGTAAGCTGAGCCTCTGCCGGGCACGGCTGTCCTCTGCTCCTGGCCTCCCTGGTTTGTGAGACCCAGACAGGGTCTGATACAGACAACACCAGCCTTTTCCAGGGGCCCCCACCTCTCTCCTCTGTCCCTTAAAAGCAGGAAGACTAGGGCCCCACTGTGCTGGATATTGGCATAAATCTGCCTGTTTTCCCCTGAGTCTGCTGAGAGTCACCAAGATCACCACATGAATGAGCAGTGGATAGCAGATGGGTGGGTGGGAAATCCACGAGCGCCAGTCTCCTGGGTAGACACTCCCACCTGGGGCTGCCCTTGACTCAGGGAAAGTAGACAATCCTGTAGGGCCAGAGAAAGCTGAGCAGGCACCCTGTTCTGCCAACAGCAGAGGTTTCTGTGGGATCGGGAGGCCCCTGTGCAGCAAGCAAAAATTTTTGATTCATAAATAACATCAGACCCACCTGAGTGAGGACCTGGACAAGACCACCTGCAGAAGCAGGTTGAGCCCTAACAGTCCTGCTGGCCTGATGTGAAGGTCAGAAGGGAGTGCCTGGGACATTTTCCATATGGCAAGGAGCAATGACAATGGGGACTATTCCTGTTTTCTGGGAAGTGTACCCAGTTATGGGGCCTGGAACCTAGAAAGCAAAAGGGGCAGCAACTGAGGAGGCACAAGGAGCAGAGGACTCAGGAAGGGAACAGGCTTTCTTGGCTTCATCAGAAGCAGTTTCCAATCAGACATCAGTAGTTGGCCGAGTCTCCAGCCTGAGAGACCCTGTGGGGACAGAGATGAGGCAGAGAGTCCAGACCTGAGAATTCACCAGCAGGGAGAAGTGGCAGCAGCAGCAACAGCAGCCACTGGGCTGAGGATGGAGACCCCAAGCATCTCTGTGGACGTAGGAATGGAGAGGGTGGCACCTGGACCTAAATGGGAACACTCAGGCCCCACAGCAGTGTCCCCTTCTAGAATGTGGGCTATTATGTAGCAGGACTTCTGGTTCCCATGAGCACCCTTCTTTCTGGGAAGACTCTCAGGCTGGGAGTTCTGTGGAAGGTGAGTCTGTTCCCTTGTGGGTCTCCCTGGGTTCATCTGGCTGGATAGGGTTGGACTAGGTGCTCCTCCAACCTCAAACACTCAGGGAGAGCAGTCTGTGGTGTGTGGACTGTGTGTATTTGTGTGTTCATGGGTTTGTGCAGTTGATTGTAGCAACCTGAGGCCTTGTGGATAAGTCCAATGCTAGGGTCCAGGTTTAGGGCTTGTATTTGGCACACATCTAAGCCAGGTCCCCTGATCCACCTTTTATCAGGAAGAAATTGGTATGTTGATCTTCATCTCTCTCATCTTTTTGCCTGTCATTTGGTTTGGAACTTATGTTTGGTGACTCGGGAAGAGTTTATAAACACAATTTGCTGTTTCTCTGTGATGTTTTTTTTTTTTCTGAAATTACCCTCTTCCTCCCCAGAATCTCTGGCTGCCTGTTTTTGATGACCATGAGGAAAGTGGACTTCCTACCAAACTGTTGACCACCACACAAGCCTGTGGCTGCTCTCAGAGCCCAGTGATAGTAAACTGGGAACATCAAGTGTGGGCTGCATGTGAGAATTGACTTCTCTGCAGAATTGTCTTGTCTTTGTTCATTTTTCCAAAGTCTTAAGTGTTGTTCCCTGATTATGTTTTTAAAAAGATTTCATTTGTTTATAGAGAGAGGGGAAGAGAGGGAGCAAGAGGGAGAGAAACATCACTGTGTGGTTGTGTCTCATGTGCCCCTGACTGGGGAACTGGCCCAAAATCCTGGCACGTGCCCTAACTGGGAATTGAACAGATGACCCTTTGGTTCACAGGCTGACACTCAGTCCACTGAGCCACACAGGCCAGGGGTGTTCTCCAATTATTGCCTAGAGTTTCTAGCTGTTTCCTTCAATTGGATGGCTCGGTAGGAACTCACTCCTGTAGATCAGAAGCAGAATTCCCATCCTCCCTCAGAAGCAGCAGACCACCCTGCACACTCGCAGACCCAGCCCTGTTCTAACTTGAGAACCCCAGTGGATCCAGTGCCTCTGAGCCCCTGCCCACCAAGGAAGAAAGTGTGGAGAACATCAGAGGCACATATTTGTTAGGAGACACACAAGCCAGGCTAGATGCACTTTGTAGTTCTAGATCCATGGGATCAGAAACACATGCCTACTTAGAGTGGGCTCCTTTATCAATAAAATAACAGCACACGATATGGCTAGAGAAAAACAGGATTCATTCTAAAATTTCATTTGGAGGTAATACTTTACAAGCCATGTAGAATAATGAGAAATATAAACTTAGTCCAAGAAGACAAAGACTATTTGCTTTTTGTTCAAGAAGAGATTGAATGATGGCATCATATCTGTTTTTTTAAAAATAAATGGTTTATATATGTAGTCCCTGAACTCTGATGTGGGCCCTTGTGAAGCCTTGCTGGGAGATCTATCCCACCCATTTTACACAGAGACAATAGGAGAATATTGGGTCTCCTCAAAAAATGGCACTTCTCTCCAGCAAAGCAGAGCAGTGTGTGAGCTGATGCCCAGAGGAGCCCCTCTGGGAGGTTCGGGTGACGGGTGGTTACCTAAAGCCCTAGGTCCTTGGGAGCTCCAGGTCCTTCCACAGCCCCATGCTCCCCATGTAAGACCACAGCTGATCTCCCCAGCAAACAGCCCACATCTGAGACTAGGTAAATGGGACAGACAAGTATGACAGCTTAGTGGCCTTCCTTGTTCTTGGCTGTCCAGTGGGGTGGGGTAGACACTCTCTCTTCTAGGATGATGACAAATTCAGCCATTTTCTCTACAGCACCGGGAAACCGAGCCACAGTCAAGCTGTTCCATTGAAAAAGTGCCAGGATCTCTGGTCACTATGACTGGCCTGGGACTGTCCTATGTCTCCTGTTAGACATCATGGCCCACTCTGTGATAATCTTGGTGGTGTCCTCAGTTGGTCATGGTTCCATCTGCCTGCCCTCTCTCAAAGACACAGATTTCACTGAGTGGACAACACATACACTTTATGTGCAGGAATGGCGGGGGGGCTGTTAACTCAGATGCTGTCCCATCAACAAGCCTGCCAGCCAGGCTCTCTTTGGGGAATTAAACCCTTGAAAACAATTTGTTGAGCCATTAAAAAATCAATTGGAAATACTTGTTTAGTGAAATATTGATCTGCAAGTAATTTCTCCCATTTTATCAATTGGCTTTTCATTTTGTTGATTATTTTGATGTTGTTGTTTGGAAGCTTTCTAGTTTGGTGTTCTCCCAATTGATTATTTTTTCTTCTGGAGTTTGTGCGTTTGGTGCCACATGTGTAAAGTCATTGTCAAGACCAATGTCAAAAAATGTTTCCATGTGTTTTCTTCCAGCAGTTTTATGGTTTCAGGCCTTACATTTATGTCTTTAATCCAATTTGTGTTAATTTTTCTTAGAAAGTATAACATAGGGTCCAGTTTCATTCTTTTGCAAGATATTTTGAATATCTACTTTTCCCAACATCATTTATTGAAGAAGCTATCCTTTCCCCATTGAGTATTATGGCTCTATTCTCAAATATTAGTCAAGTGCCTTTACATGAATTTATTTCTGGTCTCTTGATTCTTTTGTATTTGTCTATGTCTTGTGTTTACCCCTGTACCATAGTGTTTTGATCACCTCCGCTTTGTATCATAGTTTGAATCAGAAATTGTGATGCCTCCAGCTTTGTCTTGCATTTTAAGGATTCCTTTGACTCTTCAGGATTTTTTTGTGGTTCCACAGAAATTGTAGTATCTACTTTTTTATTTTTGGAAAAATATTTATTAGAATTTTGATAAGGATTGCATTTCAATATATTTATGAATTTTTCCAGATTCTTGTTACTGATTTCTAGTTTAATAACATTTTAATTGGAAAAGACACATTTTTTATTTCTAGAGTATGTTGAGACTTATTACCTAAGTTATGGTCTATCCTAGAAAATCTGACTTGTAGCAAAGATGGAGGTGTGGGTTGATACACTGTGCCTCCTCTCACAATCAAAAGAAGGACAACAACAAATTAACAAACAAAAAACAACAAGAACTGACAGAAAATCAAACTGTATGGAAGACCGACAACCAAACAGTTAAAGAAGAATCATTCACCACACTAATAGGAGGCATGGAAATGGACAGCCAGGGCTGAGAGGACTCACAGCAAGGCAGTGGCTGCCCGACCAGGCAAGGTGGTGGCTGGCAGAGCAGGTGGTCCCATGTTTGTGTGTGAATAAACTGGGAGGAACAGACTGAGCAACCCAGGGTTCCAGTGTGGGGGAACTAAAGCCTCAAAACCTCTGACTGAAAAAAACCTCTGGGGGTTGAGGCAGAGAGA